TAGAATTAGAATAGAAATTATACATTTAACTATACTTTCAGTTTACTATTCTTTTATTTTAAGATTTAATATGTAGAATGTACTAAGCAGAATCAGGATGGAAATTATGTATTATTTTAAGCTTTATTTTAGGAGAAGGCGTCATACTTCAAAAGTGATTACAGGGGAAATTTTTTGTTAAAGAGAAGAGATAAATAGATGTTTGGTAAAGAACGGACAAAAGATATAAGTATAATGACTTTGAAATAAGATGAAATAAATAAAATATAATTAAGAGAGTGAAAAGATGGGAGAAGTTATATAGAAAATACAAAATGGTTAATAAGATATGAAGGGTATATAAGGTGGGCATGAATTTGATTTAGGTCTGTCAAAAAAGATGTAACCTGGGGCCAAGTCACTTTTCAAAAGAAGTTTTATGTTTAGTGTGTGGATTATTTATGTTTGATTGTAAATTAATAAAATCTTGGAGAAATGAAATTAAAGGGAGAGAAATTGGGAAAAGATATGTACAAATGATAACTAAGGAGGGTATTTTTTTTCCAATGTTTTGCTTTAGGTTATGCATTTTGTGTGCTTATGACTGATTGAGAATTACTAAAACTTTGATAGAAAGAAATATAATTGAATAAAAGTGAAGGGAGAAATAATGAGAAATTTGGAAAAGATATATATGTGTAAATGGAAATGTGATAATGTGGAACTATGTTTTAAAAAAATAATGCTTTATTTGCCTTGTTAAAATTTATAAGTAATTCTTAGAAAGGAGGTTTTATACTTTTATGTGTTATGTTTTGTTTGTCTTCACCTACACTTGTTATCTTGGACATGTTTGACAAACAAATTAAATAAATCAATAAAGTCACCCAACCAGCTTTCATGCTGAAGGCAGGACTAGAACTCACAGTCTCCTGGGGATTGGCCCAAAGTCACCCATCCAAGTTTTCATGCTGAAGGATTGTGATTTGTTCTGTTTTGGCTCCGATGAATCCACCCATTGTGCTTGTTAAGCATCACGATCATTTGGCATGATGATGTATAAGTCCAGCCAGTGGGGGGCGGTCTTTCAAAGGAACCATGATGTATAAACTGCCCAGTGAACTGTAGAAATGTAGAAATTTAATAAATGAAGATGAACAAATGTGTATGTGAACCATGGTTTGGCACACTGTGCAAGAAACCTGAGTTGAATAAGTAGAAGTTCAGGCAAGGAAAGAGCAGCCTTGCTCCCAAAGATTGCCACTAAAAAGGGAGGGGGTTGTTAAAAGAGGTAGAATATGCCCCCCCTCTGCCACTTTCCATTTGGCCTTCTTCCTTCACCCCACCTATATTTTGGGCTTATTTACAGAAGTTGAACCCTGACATGGCACTTGGGCATCTGAAGAAGCACCAGTTTCCTCAACTACTGGCCAATCAGCTTCAAGGGGATGTAACAGGGGAACGGGTTTTAATGATAGGGATCATTTGGATAGCCCTTTTGTGTGGACTTCTAGGGAGACCTGTTTAGTGCCAATGCTCTTTCTGCTTTCAAGCGAATACCTCTTCATTTTTCCAGAGATTTTATCTTCCAGAGATTATTTATCATCCAAATCCTTTATTGCCCTGCTTACTCTGCATTTCTAAGTTTACCTCACTGTGACTGAATTGCTTCTTTTAAAAAATGGAAAAGTTGGTGGCTCATTTGACATGGAAGAGTAGAAGAGAAGACTGACAAGTGATGTTTTTTTCCACATTTGACATTAAAACGCACTGCACAGAATGGGATATAATCACGGTTAGAGGACTTTTACCCAGCTGGAGACCCTCTATTTATTTCCTCAGTAATACTAACCCAGTCATCAGTTGTCATAACTGGAAATAAGGGAAGTTAAATGTATCCAGAAAACTGGGGTGGAGAATTGGAGAAGGCCCATCTAAAAACTAACCCAATTCTGATACTCAGTGGCTGAATTCATCATCCCAAACTTCACCCAAGTGGGGCGCCAATGATTGGTGGTGGTTCAATTGGGAGCCATTTTTCTCAGCAGGCACTGTTGTGAACCTGCCCAACCTTTCTGCCATAATTTGGTTTATTTATTTGGCCAAAACATGGTCTCTATATAATATAGTTTGTTTCTTTCGTTAAGTCGGGTTCGAATGATGTGAATTCATCTTCTGATATCATACATCCTTTTGTTTCCCCTGCCTTCCACATTTCCCTCCCTATTGTAATACACATACACACACACACACACACACAAACACACACACAAACACACACACAGAGAGTATTACAAGACCAGGGCCTTTTCACGCTTGCGTAAACATTCCAAAAGAAGGACAATTTTCAGTTTTGACTGACTTTGCCAACGAATTCAAGATTTCTCTCCCTGCCGCCTTTCTCCGTCAGACGTGGCGCAAACCCTTTCTTCGCGTGCTTGCGCGTGCCTGGGGCGTGTGTCTACATATATGTACGCATTCCCATGTGATGAGTGCTGCGCGTCTCTTCGCGACGCCTGGGCGTCGGAGGGGAAGGCTAGTGTGTGGGGGGGGACGTGTAAACTTCTGCGCCCCTCCGTTCCCTCCTCCATCAAAGACGGAGGGAGGAACAGAGCCGCGGGGGTTTCCTCGAGGCCAAACCCACTCCCTCCACTCCGAGGGAGGCAGGCAGACGCCGGAGCTGCCGCCGTTCTCGGGAGGGAGACGGTGCAATCCGGGTGGGGGGCGCAACGCGATAGGCTCTCCTAACTGGCTGGCCTGTACTAGGATCTGGCAACGACCGTCACTTGACGGGCGCGTCTCGATGTTGGAGAAGCCGACCTCGGCTTAGCGGCAGCCGGTGAGGAAGAGATGGGAAGAGACGGCTCAGGTATTTCGTTCCCGCGCCTAGGGAGCGGTGGGAGGTGGGGGCGGGGCTCTGGAGCGGAGACGGAGCCACCGCATGATTCCCCCTGGACTCCAGGTCCCCGCCAAGGCGCGCCCCGAATTGCGCCGACTTTCACACGATCGCGTCAGATGAAGTGTATAGGATGGCGCTGAGATCTGCTTAGGGATCACTTGGAAGAATACGCCTCTCCTGCTTTGCCAGCTGGGCTCAGAACCTTCAGGGTCCGCGCTGGACGGACTCTCTGGATGCCCCGGACGTGTTTTTGGCCGAAGCCGCGCCCGGGACCACTAGCCGAATCCTGGCGCTTCAGTTCAAGCTAGACGCCGAGCTGAGGTTGGTAGCTCCGCTTTGTCGTCCTCTCCATCTAATCTACCCTCCCATAAGGTCCATATTTTCTCCGGACTCCCCCTTCCTCCGCGGATTCCGAAAGCCCGAAAGGCCCGGCCACTGCCGAGTCTTCAAAGTACCAGAAGTGAGTCCGCGCGCGCGTGGGTTGCTACTGGAGGCTCATTCAACCCTCGTCGCGTTGCAGTGGGGAAGAGCGTCGCTAGATGTGCGCGGGGGGTCAAATCCCACTGCTTTGCTTCGCGGGTCCGCTTTTCACTATTTTGAAGGGCTGGAGACCCAGTTGACTCCAGGAGGTAGAGTGATATACCTGCAGCTGAGCTGGACGGGAGACCACGTAGAAATCCCAGATCTGTGCCCGGGAAGTCCGAGGTGGACAACCTATGCAAAGACAAGGCCTCTTCCATCTATTTCTTTCCAGGAAATTCATTATATCCCAGAATGGAAGCTCAGTTTGATTTATCATGATTTTCAGGGACGCAGTTTTCCCTTGAATGATTCAGGCCCGTCCCCCTTTCCATCCCATCACACTCCTTAAACGGGATATCTTTGTGTTGTTGCCTTTTTTCCTTCTCTTTTATCATAAACTTGAAACTAGTGCTGCTAAATTACTACCATGCTGCAGATTTAGACTTTCCTTGCGTTAATTGATTTAGCAAAGGGATATTATTCAGCGTAAGGGTATTAAAAGCCTTGTTGCCTCTGAGGCTGCAGATTTGATTTGTATAAATCTGAAAGGTTTTGTTTTAAATGTGTTCTTGAAATATGGTCTGGGAAGGTACAGGGGGAAAGCATCTTATGTTTTGATTGCGTCTTGTTGGACTTAGTTTTATTCAAAGAGTTATTTTGTTATTTTATTGGAAGAGGCACTTTTTCTCTTCCCAGTACAGTTGTCGTTACAGATGAAGAACTAACATATTCCTCAGGGTGTCCTATTCCTCCCAATATATCCAGGTCAGGCTCTCCCAGGTACTGGAGATCAGCAGGAGACAGCTAGATGCCTCCGCTTGCTGTGACTTAATTCCTTCCTCATATTGAGATTGATTGCTGGTGACACTGTGTTTATCTTCTCCATTCACCATTTTTGGGCAGCAGTTAGAGAAGTGATTTACCATATCCTTCTGAGACCTTTAAAAAAAAAAAAAAACTTCCCAACCTTGCTTATACTTTTCGGTTTCCTAGTGGTCACCCATCCCAAATACTAACCAGATCCTTAACTTTGGGGATCAGCCAAGATTGCCACATAGCTGCCACTGTTAAATCAAGTTAAATAAGTTTGATTCCAGCAAGAAAAGATGGTTTGGAAGCTACAGAACTAGGATTCCTGCTCTTCTATACAGCAATGCAGCTGGGAATATATCAGTTCCACTTTTCTGCTTTGTATATAAGACATCAGCCTGTGTTTAATCTTGATTATCTGTTGTTGCAAGAGTGCTGTAGGTAAACAAGCAGGGCAACTTCAGACAGAGGGTCTCTCCTTATTAATCTGGCTGCTGTTCCCCCCCCCCCCCTTTCCTTCCTGCGGTTTACAGGGACAGAAATTCGGGCATGGCTTTAAGATTACTTATGGCCACATCCTGGAGGCAATTCATGGTTACCACCGATAGGTCGATGCTGCTAGAACCAGCCACGTGGCAGAACACCGGCTTCTAAAATAAGAAGTACCTCCCACAATAACTTCCTTTTTAAGAATGCTATTGAAGATATTATTGCAGGACATTAAAAATCAGAAGTAGATCTCCTGGTCTGTCCTCATCACCTGCAGATCATCTCCATTCATCTCTGCAGGATGGACCGCTCTGCCAACTTCACCTGTCTCTCTGCCACTACTTTGGCAGAGCCCAACTGGACCGATCCTGGTCTCTTGCCCGGCCCGGCCGGCATCGGTGTTAAACCCTTGTCAGTCTTCAAAGTCCTTATCTTGACTTTGCTGGCCATGCTGGGGGTTGCCACGTTCCTATGGAACCTACTGGTGCTGGCCACTATCTTGAGGGTACGTACTTTTCACAGGGTGCCCCATAACCTAGTTGCCTCCATGGCCATCTCTGACGTGATGGTAGCTGCTTTGGTGATGCCCCTCAGCCTGATGTACGAGCTGTCCGGCCGTCGCTGGCGTCTGGGGAGGCTGCTGTGTGAGATCTGGGTTTCCTGTGACGTGCTGTGCTGCACGGCCAGCATCTGGAACGTGACGGCCATTGCACTAGATCGTTACTGGTCCATAACGCGGCACTTGGAGTACACGCTGAAGACCCGCCGCCGAATTTCCAATCTTATGATTGTGGTGACTTGGCTGCTCTCTGCTATCATCTCCTTGGCTCCACCACTCTTTGGCTGGGGAGACACTTACTCCGAGGGCAGTGCTGAGTGCCAAGTCAGCCGAGAGCCTTCTTACACCGTCTTTTCAACCTGTGGAGCTTTTTATGTGCCTCTCTGCGTTGTGCTGTTTGTCTACTGGAAGATCTACAAGGCAGCCAGGTTTCGCATTGGATCCCGTAAGAGCAATTCCATCAGTCCAATTACACCCGGAGTTCTAGAGGTTAGTGCTTTGCTTACACTTTTAACACCCAAGAAGTAAGCTTACCACAAAGGTTTAGGATGCAGCATTCATTTGGTCTTTGACTGGCCCTTACCTCGTTTAAGCAAGGCTAAAACCACGATGCTGGCAATTGTGAACTTGTGCTTCGTGGTTCAGATCTCTGATCAACAGAACCATGATTCATTATTGTTATTATACTAACTACTCCCCAGTTAGTCGCACAACCAGCTAGAGTCATTGTTGACTCCTGGCTTTCTTTTGAATAGATCCATTAGTTTTCCTGGCAATGTTTTTTTTCTGGAAGTGATTTTTCCCTTGCCTCATTCCTAGGGTTGAGAGAGAGTGACTGGCCCAACATCAACCTGCTGGGTTTGTGCCTAAGGTAGGACCAGAACTCACACAACAATTGATGATTGGCCCAAAATCATCCAGCTGGTTTTCACGCCTAAAATGGGAATAAAACTCAGGGTCTCCCAGTTTCTAACTTGATGCCTAACCACTACAAAATCAGCTTATTATTATTATTTGCTACATATTTTTTAATTTCACTTTTCATGTAGGTTATATAACTCAAAGGAGTGATCTTCTCAATACCTAATATTCTCTCAATTCTTTTTTGAAGATTTAGATCAAAAGCTGCAAAATATTTTGTATTTTGTAGGCTTTGGACCAACGTGGTCTTTAATCCCATTTCCTGAATTTTGGGGGTTAACTATAATTTGGTTGATGTTTGCTCTTCTGCTGAACTAGACTCTTAATTACCAGGGTTTTTTGTTTTTTGGGGGGTGGGTGGAGGTGGGGGGAGAAACAGCTTCCATTAAAACAGAACTTCCTCAGATTTATCTCATTGCTGTACCAGACTTTTAAGAGAAAGATCGAGTAGCAGATAGGAATCAACAGATTACATTTTTCCTGACCACTCAAACCAGGAAGTTTAATTCAACCAGGTTAATATTGTCAGTATCATCTGTTAGTTATTTGTTCTGCCTATTTTTCTGCCCTCCCTGGATATTTGGGGAGATTATATCTTTCCCAGATATATTTTGGGACTGTTATGCACAGCATATACAGGTGACCCTTCAGTTACGACCTAATGGATTCTACTTGTGACTATCATAAATTGGATCACCCAAGTGACGGACAGGATTTTACAGCTCTTTTTTGGGAGCTAAATGCCACGGTCACTAAGCAAACCAATGATTTGCTATGGGCATGATTTTCTTAAAAAGTGTAAGTAAATGTCAGTTTTTGACAAAAGCGTCAAAAAACTGGGGACACTGCAAACATCCTGGAAAGGGACCTTGGAGGTCTTCTAGTCCAACCCCCTGCTTAAGCAGGAGACCCTATAATTGGAGACAAATTATCCAATCTTGTCTCTTCTTAAACCCCCCCCCACCGCCCAATGATGAAGCACCTACAACTTCTGAAAGCAAAGCAGTTCCACTGGTTAATGGTCCTCACTGTTAGGAAGTTTCTCCGTAATTCCAGGTTGCTTCTGTCTTTCATTAGTTTCCATCCATTGTTTCTTTTCCTACCTTCTGGTGCTTTGGAAAATAAGTTGACCCCTCCCCTTCTTCTTTCTGGCAACCAAACTGGTTGCCAAGCATTCAAAGTGTAGTCATTTAACCATGGGTGGATAGGTGGCACTGTTGGAACTTTGAATCCTGGCCAGAAGGATTCAACAAGGAGTCCATTGTAACTTCAAATGGTCGCTCTGTGCTGTCCCAGCCGGTCTATGGGAATTGGATAGTTACTTAGGAATTGTGAGCTGTCCCCTTAAGGGAATGCATCATGGTAAATGTAGCTAAAGGTATCCTGGGAAATGTAGTTCATGACGCGTGGCCACATCTGTAATCCTGATCGGTCACTGAATTGATCCTTGGTGGGTTAAGGGAGTTTTCCTCATTCTTTATCTGAACTCTCTACCACGTGGCATCTTCCTTCTATCGCTACGAGATAGGTTAGGAAATAACCATATTTCACGTACAAGGCAGATATACAAAGGATTGGTCATTAAAGAACTTAGTTATAAATGTGAGTTATGAAGATACCTGATGTACCAATAAATGAACTTCGTTATGGAAGCTTTGTTGAGTTATCTCTCTGCATCTGCACAACTATGGATCTAGCTGTGCAAGAGGCAGAACAGTGAAAGGTGGTTAACTCCTAACCCATCTCATAGCAATAGAAAGAAAATGTCATAAGACGAGGACTACCTGTTTGTGACGCCTCTGAATTTCACCTTTCTCTTGCTCCTTAATTGAAATCCAAGGCTAGGTCTTTCATCCTCTAAAGAAGGACATTATCAATCACACACTCCCACTCTCCCGAGGGGGTATTTATTCACGAGACCTTTCCTGCCCTGTGTTTCTTACGCACAACCTGACAAGCAGCAAGGCTCCAGGCATGGCAAGGAGGGGACCCAGCCTACCTATACGTTTGCTGCATGTTGCCTTTTCTTCTTTTTCTTCTCCCATTCATTTTGTTTGCTTTGGGCCTTTGAATAGGTTCCCTTTATTCGGTGTGGATGTGTAAACAGCTGCACTGCCTACGACTTCCAAGCTGCATGGAATTGTGAAAAGCACAGGCTCACTGTTTACAAATCTTAGGAAAGGGTTCTCTGCCCAGTTGGTGGGTAGGCGTGGCCATGGTGGGCGTGGCCTAGTCGACCTCCTGCACCACGGCGGGGGGGGGGAGCATTTTTGCCCTCCCTGGGCTCCGGAGGCTTTCCTCGAGACTCCAGGAGGGTGAAAACGGCCTTCCCGGACTCCGGAGGCTTTCTGGAAGTTGGAAATGGGCCCATTTCTGGCCTTCCCGAACTTCCGGGAGGCCCGTTTTTTGCCCTCTCCAAGCCTCCGTGCGCGCCCTGCACTTAACTGCATCCAAAATGGGTCATGTGGGGACTCCTGGGAGGGGCAGAATGGGGTGGGCGGGGCCAGCCGGGAGTGGGATTTGGGGGTTCCCTGAACTGCACAGAATCTTAGCTAGGGGCTCTCCCGAACCCCTGCGAGCCCCCAGCAGCCCAGCCCTGACCCTGTGGCAGGGAAAGTGGCTGGCTGGGGAATTCTGGGGCCCTGGGAAATGCCCACTTCTTAAAGAGGCTGAGAAATTCTAATGTAGTGCCTGGAAATAGATCCTGTGTTGTGAACCCCATAAATGATTTATCCCCAGAACTATTTCTATCACCTGTGGCCGTGGGTGTGATTAAGTTGAGGTTTCTGCCTTCATAGTCATGCTCAGCATGGCAAGGATAACATAAGCTTCTTGGAACAAACTAAAGCATTGCAAAGTAATCCGTTTCCCTTCATTACTTTTCCGTAATTGAAAAGCTACTTTGGAAACGGTTGCTGAGATTGACAGAAATGGGGCTGCCTAATCTTTTTGTATGTTTATCCATTCCAAACCACCCTTTCTTTCATTTGCAGGAGGAAAGAAAGCAGGGTGTGATACATTTTTCAGTGTAATAATAATAACAACAACAACAACAATAATAATAACAACAACAACAATAATAATAGCAGCAACAACAACAATAATACTAATACTAATAATACTACTAATAATAATAATATATCCTCCCATGTTGTGGCTCCCATATCTTAATTTGGTCTTATTTGGTTTTAACAGCACCGTTTTTGTTTTATTCGGGCCAAATTGAGCCTCAACCTGTTGTCCAAGTCTTGATTTACATCAAGTTCTCAAAGCTATGACGACAATAGACCCCGAAATTTCCATTGCTAAGCAAGACAGCTCTTAAATGAGTTTTACCTGTTTTAAGACATTTCTTGCCACTGTTGTTAAGTGAATCACTGCAGTTAAGTTAGTAACACGATTGTTAAGTGAATATGGCTTCCCAGTTGACTTTGCTTGTCGAAAGTTTTTTAAAAATGATCACATGACCCTGGGACACTACAACCACCATAAGCACATGCCAGTCGCCAAACATCTAAATTGGGTTATATGATCACAGGGATGATACAATGATCATAAGTGTGAGGACTGTTCATAAGTCAGGTTTTTTCCAGTGATTGTAACTTTTTAATAGTCACTAAACAATTGGACTTCTCTCTATTGTGAAAAAATGTCCTTTATTTTGGTACCTAATTAGCATCTGGGCCATTTTAAAAGCTAACTCTTTCCAGAGTCTTTATGTATGAGCCCATAAATCTGTGATGGGTACTGTGTTTTCCCCAGAGGTGGCATTCAGCAGGTTCTGACCAGTTCTGGAGAACCGGTAGTGGAAATTTTGAGTAGTTCGGAGAACTGCCAAATCTCACTTCTGACTGGCCCCGCCCCCAGCTATTCTCCGCCTCCCATTGAGTCTCAGCTGATCGGCTGGGTCTTCTTTGGTTGCCCTGCACAGGAGAACGGAGCTGGAAAGCAGGTTAGTGGTGTGGGGAGGGAAGGGGGATTTTACGGTATCCTTCCCCTGCCATGCCCACCAAGCCACGCCCATGGAACCAGTAGTAAATAAATTTGAATCCCATCACTGATCAAGAGCCAGGGAGTCTACCGAATAGTTTAGCTGCCTAAGGTTACTAGTTTGTTTAATTCACATTTGCATGCTATCCAGGGTGCACCACTGGGAGAAAATTAGTCCCGCACACAGAGTGTCTAGCAATATTTTGTAGGAGTGCCAGTGTCACTCAGGGCCTTTCTGCATTGATTTCACCTTGCATTTGGGCAAGTCTGGTGCCAGTTGGTTTCTTGCTATTGCACAAAATGTTGTTAGTTTCCCATTGGAGTAGGACAGAGGTGGGTATTCAGCAGGTTCTGACCAGTTCTGGAGAACCGGCAGCGGAAATTTTGAGTAGTTTGGAGAACCGGCAAATCCCACCTCTGACTGGCTCCGCCCCATCTATCTCTGCCTCGCGAGTTCCAGCTGATTGGCTGGGTCTTCTTTGGTTGCCCTGCACAGGAGAACAGAGCTGGAAAGCAGGTTAGTAGGGTGGAGAGGGAATGGGGATTTTGCAGTATCCTTCCCCTGTCACGCCTACCAAGCCACGCCCACAGAACCGGCAGTAAACAAAAATTGAATCCCACCACAGGCTAAAATCCCAGTATAAATGTCCTTTGGCTTGAAACGCATTTGTTGATCCTGGTATCCACATCGATGGTACCAGTTGGCTGCTGAAAGCCTCTCTGCTATTGGAATTTCAGACAGCGACTATGAACCAACCCCTGGTGTTCTCAAGAGCCTCAGAAATTAATCCCACATCATCAGACCGTGAACTAAAAGTCCCGTGGCTGGGATCGAATGTTGAGTTAGCCTCTCTGACAGGGTTTGTACCAGGAAGCCTCAACATTTTCCATCTTCAGGCGGCAGAACAAAAAATATCTCAAAGCCACCAAGTGGGCTCATTGATGGCGATTGTCAGTGGTGGGGTGAACTTGGTGCCTGGTGGTCTGGGAAAGGTTTGATCGAGGTGGGGGGGTGGGCTTAGAGAAAGCTTTGCAAATGACGCAAGGTAGGAACTGCTGTCCTTGTGTAAATTTGAGGGATCTGGAGTGGGAAATGACAGCACAGAATGGTGATTTGTGCCAAGAGCTGAGAAACTCATCTGACTCTCAGCCAGACACTCATAGCCCAGACATGTTGCAGGGGGAAATTAGATGCAGGAATGCTCTCTATAGGCTGCCCTGAACTGCTGTAGGTCATGAATAAAATACACAATCATGAAAAAAAAACCTGCATTTGCATTCTAAGGAGTAGAGCAGTGTTTTTCAACCTTGGCAGTTTAATGAGATGTAGACTTCAACTCCCACAATTCCTTAGCCAGCAGGCTTAGCCACCAACCAACCCCACAACTGCCAGTCCTAGATACCCCATTGCAGGCAGAAACTGACGTCCCCCTTTGTCTCATGAGCAAAAAAACAAAACCAGGGAGAAGACCCATCATGACACATAACCTTCTCCGGCCAAAAGGCTTGCAGCCATTTTTTTTAAAAAAAAGCAAAAGTGATTGAGATTTTTGTGGGAATACCCTAGTCTTTCTGAACCTTTGCAACTTGGAAGAGGTATGGACGTCAAGTGGTTTGCTGGCTGGGGAATTCTGGAAGTAGAAGTCCACCTTTCTCCAAGTTGCCAAAGTTGAGAAACACCGCAATAAAAAGTTCCTTCCGATGGTGAAAAAGAAAGCAGGTGTAAATAATAGTAGGGATGTTCTGGGATTTTTCCATCAGATCACAGGAATTGTGATGGTGATGTCACTCATGCTGCAGCTTTCTGTTGCTTGATGTTGCAGTCATTTGATCCAGGCAAAACACACCATTGTTTTCCCATAAGAACTCAGTTTGGTTTTCTATAGGAAATTGCTGTCATTTGATCTCTCTCTCTCTCTCTCTCTATGTGTGCGTGTGTGTGTGTGTGTGTGCGCGTGTGCACACCTCTTCAATTCTGGAGAGTTAATCGTGCTGTGGAAGCAAAGAAATGCCCAGAAGTCCCTTGTGAGTGAGTCAACACAGCTTTCAGGCAATTCCACTCTTCTTCCAGAGATCTTTTGCACAGATGAAAAGATCAATTGGGAAAAACTCAAAGGCAAACACGACGGGCGGTACTAAATCAATCTTTCTTTCAGCATGATCGGGATTGATTGATGGGGATATAAATAGGAAGTATGCTAGACCAGAGAATTAGGAACCAAACAGTTTTTCGTTTGAACACCCCGGCGCTTTATTTTGCTGGTTCCTTACAATGAGCTAAGATTCCTGGTTTAAGCCAATAAATGGTATAATAAATATCATATGGACATTATTTTCTTTATTTAATTGGTTAGAGTAGAATAGAATAACAGAGTTGGGAGGGACCATGGAGGTCTTCTAGTCCAACCCCCTGCCTATGCAGGAAACCCTACACCACTTCAGACAAATGATTATCCAATCTCTTTTTTAAAAACCCTCAGTGTTGGAGCATTTACAACTTCTGGAGTCAAGTTGTTCCACTGATTAATTGTTCTCACTGTCAGGAAATTTCTCCTTCGTTCTAAGTTAACAGGTAACAGATAATCAGAGTTGGAAGGGACCTTGTAGGTCATCTAGTCCAACCCCCCACCCAAGCGGGAGACCCTATACCATTTCTGACAAATGGCAGTCCAATCTCTTCTTGAAAGTCTCAAGTGATGGCGCTCCCACGACTTCCGAAGGCAAGCTGTTCCATAGGTTGATTTTTCTCACTGTCAGAAAGTTTCTCCTTGTTTCCATGTTAAATCTCTCCTTGTTCAGTTTCCATCCATTATTCCTTGTCTGGCCTTCGAATGCTTTAAAAAGTAGCTTGACCCCCTCCTCCTCTCTGTGGCAGCCCCTCAAATATTGGAAGGCTGCTATCATGTCTCCCCTGGTCCTTCTCTTCACTAGACTAGCCATGCCCAGTTGCTGTAACCGTTCTTCATATGTTTTAGTCTCCAGTCCCCTAATCATCCTGGTTGCTCTTCTCTGCACTTTTTCCTAGGGTCTCAATATCTTTTTTTATAGTGTGGTGACCAAAACTGGATGCAGTACTCTAGATGTGGTCTTACTAAGGTTTTATAGAGTGGTATTACTACTTCTCTGGATCTTGATTGTCTCCTTCTGTTAATGCAACTTAGGATTGCATTAGCTTTTTTGGCTGCTGCTGCACAGTGCTGGCTCATATTTAGCTGGTTGTCCACTAAGGCTCCAAGATCCCTCTCAGAGTTATTGCTATTGAGGCTGGTTTCACCCAGTCTATATGTGTACTTTTGGTTTTTCTTGCCTAAGTGTAGGACTTTACTTTTCTCTACATTGAATTTCATTTTGTTAGATACAGCCCAGTGTTCTAGTCTGTCAAGATCTATCTGAATCTTGAGCCTGTCTTCTTGGGTGTTAGCTATTCCTGCCAGCTTAGTATCATCTGCAAATTTAGTAAATTCCCCTTCTATTCCCTCATCTGAGTCATTAATGAAGATATTGAAGAGTCCTGGGCCTAAGATGGAACCTTGTGGCACCCCACTGCTTACTTCCCTCCATGCGAGTCCATCTAGCGGTGGTGCTATCTATTCCACTTTTTTCTAGCATACCATGGAGCTTACCAAGCTTCTCTCCTTGATTAGTTTCCATCCATTGCTTCTTCTCCTGCCCTCAGGTGCTTTGGAGAATAGCTTGACCCCCTTCTCCTCTCTGTGGCTGCCCCTCAAATATTGGAAGACTGCTACCATGCCTCCCCTGGTCCTTCTTTTCATTAAACTAGACATACCCAATTAAAGCAACTATTTAGCCTCTTGTCCCCTAATCATCTTTATCAGTTAGTTAGTTGATCTGTTATTAGTTAGTTGATTTTTATTCCACCTTTATTATTATAAATAAGGCAGCAAATATACCTTATGCTCTTCCCTCCTCTTATTTTCCCTATAATAACAATCTTGTGTGGTTGGTTGGGCTGAGAGAGAAGGATTGGCCCAAATTCATCCAGCCAACTTAATTGTCCAAGAACGTGTCTTAAGGAATAAAGATATCACATGCGATCATAGAGGTAAATTTGAAGACAGTGTGCCACACTGATCATCCAGTACTGTACAGGTAGTCCTTGGCTTACGACCACGGTTGAGCCCAAAATTGCTCTTGCTAAGCGAGTCTGTTAAGTAAACTTTGTTCCATTTTACAATCTTCTATTTAGAAATAAAAACGAGTTGGGGTTGAGGTATTACTGCTGGCACCTAGTAGCAGCATCATATATGGGTAGTGCTTGTCTTTTGACCACACCAGAATTTCCGTTGTTAAGCAAGGCAAGTGTTAAGCAAATCATACCTGATTCTACCACCTTGTTTGCCATGATTGTTAAGCAAATCACTGCAGTTCTTAAGTGAGTCACAGTCATTAAGTGAGCCCAGTTTCCACCCCATCTTGCCTTTCTGAAGCTAGTTAGGAATGTTGCAAGTGGCAATCACATGATCTGGAAATGCTACAACTATCACAAATACACTCCAGTTGTCAAGCACCCAAATTTTGATCGGTGACCTTGAGGTCCTGTGATGGTCATAAGCCCGTCCATCAGTCATAAGGTGTTTTTTTTTCAACACTGTTGTAACTTTGAACGATCATTAAACTAACGGTTGGAAGTCTTGGGCTGCCTGCATGAAATGCCAATGTACAATCAATGCTCTTGTTGGCCACAAGCAACTGACAGGAAATATTTAACAGTGGCTGATAGAGCTTGCTGTAGATCAGGGATGTCAAACTGGCTTCCTTCGAGGGCCAGATCAACACTGTAGTTCTCCTCCGTGGGCCGGCTGGGGGGAGGGAGATAGGATGGATGACTCCTGCAGCACTCTGATGGCAAAAATGGGGCACGGGGGCTGCATGCCCCCCCCCCGGGCTCTATTTTGGCTGGCAAAGTGGTGCAGAAGGCCATCCAGGCCAAAAAGAGGGCACGGGGGCGCACACACACACACACACACACACACACACCATGCCCTGGTTTGGTCAGCAAGGTGCTGCAAGAGGCTGTCCAGGCCAAAAATGGGGATCGCGGCCCCTCCTCATGGTCCCCCCTGTGCCCACGGGCCGGTCTTTTGCTATTTCCACGCTGTCCCTGCGGGCCAGTTTTAAGCACCCCCACGGGCCAGATGTGGCCCGTGGGCTCTGAGTTTGACTCTCCTGATGTAGACGAATCTCTGCTCCACAGAACCGCTCACGGGATGCTTTCATGCTCAGCAGCAGGACAACCCAGCCCGCAAAGCAATAATCTAAAGATGCTCTTTCTATTTCGCAGCTCAGGGAGGATTCCCAGCATCCACAGATGTTGTTCACCGCCCGCCATGCCACGGTGACGTTCCAAACGGATGGAGACACTTGGCGGGAGCAGAAAGAGAGGAAAGCTGCCCTCATGGTGGGGATCCTCATTGGTGTCTTTGTCCTCTGCTGGATCCCCTTCTTCATCACGGAACTCATCAGCTCCCTCTGCTCCTGTGACATCCCGCCAGCCTGCAAAAGTGTTTTCCTTTGGCTCGGATATTCCAATTCTTTTTTCAACCCTTTGATCTACACAGCCTTTAACAAGAACTACAACAATGCCTTCAAGAACCTCTTCTCCAGGCAGCCATAAACAGTGTCTGGGGAGAGGACCCAGAGGTGATTTTTTCCCGCTACAGGCAACTGTACTTTGTTTGTTTTTTAAAAAATATTTCCCTTCTCATCCAAGAAGCTTCTTCACTTTTTAACTGATTGGTAGGAATGGAGGGATTTATATCCGGTGGTGGGATTCAACCAGTGTAACAATGGGTTCAGTTTGAAAACTGCCCATATTCCGTTCTAAAACTTAACTTCTACTGCAGCCCTGGTGAGTAAAACAGCTGAGGCATGGGAATCTGCTGTGCCGTGTGAATCAGCTGGGCTTCAAAACACGGAAATAAAGGACAGACTAGGGCAAGTGCAAGTGGGCGAGGCCAACCGATCACCGGAACTACCGGTTCGCTCAAACCAGTCTGAACCGGCTGAATCCCACCTTGTTTATATTGCAATCATTCAGTCCTTATCTCACTTGGGGTCAGTCGTTAGCTCTCTGAGAGTTAAGCCCGCTTGGGACTTTATCTGTATTCTCAGAGTCATCTGAATTAGAGTGTAAATGAGTGTGGAAATTTCGGCAGTTCCAAAAATGTTCCACATCCATTTACACACTGATTCAGTTGACTCTGAGGATACAAATGAACCCTCAAGTGGCTTCAACAACTCTCAGAAAGAGTGCTAATGACCAGTTGACTTTCAAAGGTTATAAATCCTTTCATTCCCCACCAGTCAGTTAGAACTGAAGAAACTTCTTGGATGAGAAGTGAAATGTTTTCAAACAAAAATACTAAGAAAGTCCAGTTGCCTTTTGGAAAAAGCACTTTGGGACAATCATGACCTGGATGATTGAGAAGCTACATAGGCATCTCGGGAGAGAATATTCTCTCTAAAGATTTCATGCTCCCATGCATCCTCCAGAGAAGGAGGAAAAGCTCTTGAAATAAACATCATTCTTTTCCAGTTGATCCAGTTGCTCTTAATATCTCTGTTCTCCATTGCTGTAGGAGATTATTGAAGTCAGTAGCTGCTTGTTCAGACACAGTATTTTCCTGGCACTCATATAATGGTGTTATGTCATTTGGATAGTCTGATTTTTCTTCTCAGCTCAGTTGCACTTGCTAATGTGACACTCTGTGACGTTCATATATCACTCTAGGATGTTCATGGCTACCAAGAGAGTCATATAACCTGTAACATCATCCATAATGTAACATTAGCCTCATAGTGAGAGATCTCTGTTTTTCTTTGTATCGCTTTGGAGAATTCATATATCATAAATGTACTGCTCAATATATAAGAAAAGTATTTAAGTAACCACTCACAGAGGGATAGGAAAGAGAACGAGGTACCCACCTTTGCACGTTTTTTTGGCCAGTTTAATACTCTTTTATTTCATTACATTAGTAGGGAATATATAATCCTTCAGATATTGCTGAACTAAAATTCCTGGCAGACTTAGGCAGGATAGATATTGGGGAAAGAATTGGAGATTACAGTTCAGTCACATTTGAAGAGCCATGGATTCTCCATCCTTCTATTATTGTTTTCAGACACTCAAGACACCAAGAACCAAACATCTGGTTCTGTGTAGCCAGGTGGTAACTCACCCAGAAGCAGACTAGAACCCAATGCAGCTCCTATAGCAAAAGTGTTACATGCACAACCCTAGGGGTGTCCCAAACTGCTCACCCCATCACATTCTTCACCAGCTGCACTTCCAAATCCTCTTCAAAGATAGCCCCATGAAGAATTAAGTATTTGGATACATTTAATCAAAAGTGTTGTTAGTATTGAATTTCTACAAGCACAATGCCCCTCAAATAATATTTGTGTTTGGAAAAAGTCTATCTGCTAATGTGAAAAATACACGGGCTTGGGTGCTGGAAAGAAGAGGTTACACCAAACCTGAGCAATGTTATTCTAACAGAGATCCAAATCCAGAGCCATCCCATATCTTCCCAGATTCTCCTTTATAGCTATTATCTCTTCGGCCGGTGAAACTATCTAGTTTCTACTTTTTCTTAGTAAAAGAGCTTCCCCAACCTAGTGCCCTTCAGCTGCATTGGGACTTCCGTATAGCACCAGACTAGTAGATCTGGGGCGGTGGGGGTGGGGGGTGGGGGAGTTATGATTAAATTGTCTTATATGTAATGCACGAAGACCCCTTAATTTGTAATATGAATCAAGGTGAGAAGAAGCAATAGGAGAAGAGTGATAGATCATTACTTCTGTTTGAATGTCTTCAGAAATTGAGCAACAATAGGAAATAGCAAGCAATTCCAGCTATATTGTTGTGTAACATTTGTGGAAAATCAAATGTTTCGTAGGCACTAAAATCTGATTCTATTTCTTGCTGCTTTAATTTTTGTCTTTCATTTTCTAACAAAACAACAACAACACTGCAATATTGAATAAAGTGTGAAAGCTTTAACACAGAGATGTCTGTGAAATTTTAAAGGAACATGTATCAGGAATCCGGCAACACATCTGCTCAGTAGCAAAGAGCAAACATTGTCCATATCCAGACATTACATACATCCCATAGCCAACCCCAATGAGTGTTTGTGCAAATAGAACTAGGAATGATACATATACACATACACCATTCTTCAGTCTTACTGGGTTTAAGGAATAAAAGCCCTGTTCAAGGCTTTCAACCAAAATACTGCAGTCTAGACTATCAGGACCATGGACACCTCCCTAAAGACATAGAAAGGGGACCTTCCATAGTGCATCTAAATTTCTAAAGGAAACTGCTTTAGCAATACAGGTAAGTCCACAACATATGACCACAATGTTTTGGTTTGTCTTGCCTTATTACTTTATAAGCAGCTCAAGATGATAAATGTATACATACACCTTTTTCTTCCTGTTTGTTCCACAATGGCAACCCCATGAGATGGGAATCTAAGTATAGTATATAAAATCATACATTGCAATGTCCTACCTGTCAATGAATACTTCAGCTTCAACCATAACAACACAAGAGCAAACAATAGGTACAAACTCAAGGTTAATCACAACAAACTTGATTGCAGGAAATACGACTTCAGCAACAGAGTGGTCAATTCTGGAATACTCTACCTGACTGTGGTTTATCCCCAAACCCCAAAAACTTTAACCTTAGACTTTCTGCGATTGACCTCATCCCTTTCCTAAGAGGTCTGTAGGGGGCGTGCATAAGCGCACCAACGTGCCTACCGTCCCTGTCCTATTGTTTCTTTTATTTTTCTTATATGTATCCATGTATTCATAATTATGTTTTTACTTAGACCTATTATCTTGTAAGCAACTGACAAACCAAATAAAATAAAAATAAATAAATGGTGAAAGAGAAGCACCATGGGTAACACGATAGCAGTATTCCAATATTTGAGGGGCTGCCCCAAACAAGAGGGAGTCAACCTATTTCCCAAAGCACCAGAGGGAAGGATAAGAAACAATGGATGGAAACAAATCAAGGAGAGAAGCAACCTGGAGTTAAGGAGAGATTTCCTAACAGTGAGAACAATTAAGCAGTGGAATGATTGCCTTCAGAAGTTATGGGTGCTCCATCACTGGAGGCTTTTAAAAGAGATTAGAGAACCACTTACCTTGTCCACGTTGTGTGCCAAAAGTGCGCTCATGTGCCTGCACCCATGATGCAATGTGCATGTGCCTCTCCTGCCCCTGCACATGCATGCGTGATCCCCTACGCATGCACACATGACTCCCAAACACCGCATGCCTCTGCGCATGTGAGCATTTTCCGCGCGCATACACGGCAGATACCCAACAATCAGCTGGCTGACGGGGGGCATATGTGCATGCTCAGTGGGGCTCTTCTGGGCAACCTCTTGTGTGCTGGCAGAAGTGGCTCTGTGTGCCACTTCCGGCATGTGTGCCATAAGTTTGCCATCATGGGTATAGGGCAGGAGTGGGATTCTACCAGTTTGCACCTATTCGGTAGAACCGGTTGTTAACATTCTAAGCAGTTCAGAGAACCAGTTCTTAGAAGAAATTACTGGCCTAATCCTGTAAGGAAGGCAGGAAGGAAACATTCTGGTGTTGCTTACAGAAACTGCCTCTCCATTAACCCTTATTAAATTCTTGGCAGGACTAGAATTTCTGTCTCAGGAACTTCTCTGGAGTTTTTTTCCCACTCCTTTGCTGGTACTTTGCTTGTGTGGAGTGACCATTTAAACTTACAATGGCACTGAAAAAAGTGACTTATGACCATTTTTCACACTTATGACTGTTGTAGCATCCCCACAGTCATGAGAGGCCAGGCGAGGAGATGTGTGCCTCGATGTGAGTGATGTTGCATTGGCCACGCCAAGCCAATAACATGCCAACAAAGCCATGTTTACCCAGTCACATGACCACCAAGCCATGCCCACCAACTAAGCCACGGCCACAGAACCAGTTGTTAAAAAGATTTAATCCCACCCCTGGTATAGGGTCTCCTGCTTAAGTAGAGGGTTTGACTAGAAGCCCCCCAAGGCTTTTCCAACTCTGTTATTCTATTATACGGAAGAGGGTGGGCCTAACAGAGAGAGAGAGAGTGACTGGCTGAAATTAACACAGCTGGTTTGCATGTCTAATTAGAACTGAAAAATTAATAGTTAAGCAGTGCAGTCCTTGAGTGAGGCATCACACATATTGCACCAATTTTACATCCTTTTTGCTGCAGTCATTAAATGAGACATCACAGTAACCTCCAATCTCCTACAGCTTCCCCATTGATTTTGCTTGCAGGAAGCCAGTTGAGAAGGTTGCAAGTGGCAATCAGGTAACCACCGGATATAACTCTCATATATATATATATGTGATGGTTGCCAAGTCTTCGAATTGTGATCAAGTGACTACAAGGACACCGTAATGGTCATAAGTGCAAGAACCACCATAAGTCACTTTTTTCAGTGCCATTGTAACTTCAAGAGGAGTAGAGAGGTAGATGACTAGTTGGATCATTCCTCCCCCCCCTCCCCAAATGGGGACTTTAGTCACCTTTCCCCAGATCAGATTCTTTAAACGAAAATGAACGGGGGAAAAATGGTG